GGCTGTATTAGATCAAAAGGGTGCTTCTACTGCAAAGGGTCTGAAGGGTCTGAATACTTAGGACCATGTGATATTTCAGTTTTTCTTTTTTAATAAATCTGCAACGATTCTGTGAATTCTGTGTTTTTCTGTCAATATGGGGTGCTGTGTGTACATTAATGAGGAAAAAAAATTAACTTAAATACACGCTGAGTCCATTCGGGCCTGGCTTGGTCCAATTTTATTCTTTTTTTTTAACAGATCGGGCTCGGGTCTGACTCAGGCTCATTTAGCTTCTCTCCTTTTATTGTGCCCATATATGCGCAGAGCACACATAGGCTACTGTATGAAATATTGTTATATTGATTATATTATAAATATTATACATCGCCTACGCAATACACAACGCATATACGCACGCATTAGCATACAGGTGACAGTTGACCATGCAGAGCATCAGGGAGAATTTGGAGCGTGGGGAGTTACTAAAAGTTCCCAATGCTTCGGGAAAAGCTGCATTTTGAAGAGCTTTGATTTGATTACCACGACAAACAATGAGCCAATTGGTCATCTGCAGTGCAGAATCTGCAAACATATCCTTGCACATGACAGCAAAAAAACAGGAACATCTCATCTACAACGGCATGTCGAGCACGGCTGCGCTCCAGCTAACTCTGCTAGCACAAGCAGACAGTTATCAATGTCCGAGTTCTTGTCGAAGCCAGTGCCACCTAATGCCAGATGCCAAGTCATCGAAAAGTGTGTGGATTTCTGCTGCGAAGACATACGGCCATTCCAAACAGTGGCTGGAGGAGGGTTTATAAAGTTAGCCCAGGAACTAATAAACATTGGAGCAGCCTATGGTCGCCTGTCTGCTGAAAAGTTGCTACCTGACCCCACGACTATTTCTCGCAGATGCCATGAAAAGGCAACAACAAAAAGAGAAGCGATTGTTGCTGAGATAAAATAGGTGATGCGTTCAGTTAATGCTGGGATGACCACAGACATGTTGACTGATGACTACCGCAAGGTCAGTTACATGGCAATCACATGTCACTTCATAACGTCAGATTTTAAGTTGAAGAATAATGTACTCACCACTGCCATGTTCCCACATGATGAGGCCAAAACAGCTGAAAATATTCGTAAGGAATTGCAGAAGCAGCTTGTGTCAGTTCTCAAGTTTGATCCCTCTGTAATGAGTAAGGTGCTGTGGGTAACAGACCAAAGTTCGAATATTGTTGTTGCATTACGACCTTACCGACACTTGGACTATCAGGACCACATCTACAAACACGGTCCTCCAACATGCCTTGGACAACACCGAGCTGTCAGTAACAGTCCCAGATGTTGGTGGAACATTGCTGGCTGTCAAGAAAGTAGTCCGGTTCGTGAAACAAAGCGGTCTGGCAAGCCAGTTATCCAAGACCGTTCTGCCGATGGGAGAAACACGTTACAGCACTGTATTTCTCACGCTCAAGTCTATCAAGGACGTGTATGCTGAACTACGTGAAAAGCTGGAGAGTCGTGAGAGGCTCAAAGAATGGCTGATGTGTCCCCAGATGTACTGGAGTTTTTGGTTGGTTTTCTCCACCCCTTCTATGAAGCCCAGCGGGAGTTGGAAGGTGATCATTATCCAACCTTGAACCTTGTTGGGTTGTGGCACGAGAGGCTGAAGCGTCATTGCCAGCCAGTAAGCGCTGACATGCCTTACCAAGCCACCATCCGCCAGCGCCACTTGGAATGGATTGGTAAAAAGGTCCAGATTCAGCCACTCCATAAACAATATTCCTGTGGCCAAAATTCGACCAGTTGTGGATGTTCTGTGAAACTGAGAGAGATGCCATCCTGCAAGATGCAAAGAGTTGGATCGCAAGCTATCGAGCAACAGGTGGAAATGCGACTGAGGAGCCAGCTAGAGAGGTGACGTCAGGCAGACGTCGGGCTGGAGTTTTTGGCCCGTGCAGGGCTCTAATCAGTGGTGTGCGGTGGTGTTCTGAAATGAGGAGTCTTCAAAGTTTTTTTTGTATCAAATGTAAATATCCCAGTCACATTGTCTTGCTTAAATAAACATCACTTACACTATCAGAGAAAGAAAATAAATTCTACTGTACATTTTTACATTAACAATCGTAATCAATATTTAAAGCCATATGAATCTCAAGTTATTATTTTTAAGCATTTTACATTTATTCCAAAATAATAACTCAAGGCAGTGACAATTTAACAATATTTTTATTTGTGAACTTATGTTGAGCTATTCTTTTTAATAATTAGCTTTTAACTATTTTTGAATTTTTCGGGTCATCAAGTCATCAAAGCTCTGTAAATATTGGTCACAGACAGAGATTCACTTTAAATTTCACCAAGACTAAAAACTCCTACTTTCAAGTCTTATTTTGATGAAATACAGTGTTTATATCTAAGTGTGCGAGTTGTTTACTTACTTTTTTAATTAGTTTTCCCATTAACATCATTATATTGTTCATTCAAACTGATTCATTAATGCGGAACGAGCATGAACACAAGAGGTGGGATTAATAGCATGAACAAATCACAGCCAATCATAACCGGCCATATCCAGTAATATTGCGATGGAGGCATTGGAGGCATAAAGTGACTTTTCCCATTCATTCTGAATAACCCCCCACTAAATCCACCGCACACTTTAGGGGGTCTGTTAAAACTCAATGGGCTCAGGGGAGGCGAGAAGGACGCCGACTCCCACTGTAACTGTACCTGCTAGTGACGCTGTTGGACTATGTTTCTTTTAAAAAATGAGGGATTTATACACTTTTTAATGATATATTTTGTAATATTGGCATTGTTTTATTTTTCTACTATGATTTTTTTTACTACGAGACACTGCCTCCCTTGCCTCCTTTCTGTTATAGAACCACTCAAAAATCGGAAAACAAAACACTTTCAAAACAGGAAACAAAAACGAGGAGAAGGGGCACCGCTTACTGTTCGGTCCTGTCTTCTGTCACGGTGCTGCTGCCACTGTGTCGGATACGAGGACCGAAGGAGCGAGGAGACATCGAAGAATATAGAAATAACAGAATTTATTAACACACACGTAGTACAGGAACCTAAGGACGTTTAAGACAGGACGAAGGACTCAGGAAAACACAGGGCTTAAATAACAAGGAACTAATTGGGACACACCTGAAATCAATGAACAATCAAAACACGGGAGAAACTAGGTCATGGAAGGCACATGGGGAGAAAAACACAAGACACAGGACTGACACTTAAACAGTAATAATTATATGTATAAATAATATTAACTTTGTGTATATTTAAATATATTTACTTGAATTTACAATCAAATAAATCAGTTAATCTCATATATCAAATATTTGATAAAAGCAGCCCTCAAATTAGAAAAAGATATTTCAAAGACATTACATAAAAGTGTGCAGATGAATAGGCCCACTTTTTTTTTTACTTATTCACACCAAATAAACATGTTAAATCAACATAATCCTATGATCTGCCATCAGCACCAATTTTTAGTCAACATCTTATTTTATAAAGCACCTCTCATAGATATGCAGGGTTCTGTCGCAATAAATATTTTACAACCCCCATTGGACCTTCATTTGTTCTTTGACTCAGGGCTATTTAACAGATTTATTAATGGAATACATCTTGACTGAGTCTGTTCGCTCAGAGCTGCTAATATAATCTGTGTTAAAGTCCCAGTGGCTCAGAGAACACAGACAGGAGAGGGGGCTGTTTGCCCCAGGGCAGAGGAAAATGTAAAAAAACATCCGCCACTTTCTCATTTTAATCCCGTTTTCTCACAGGATATTTGTGCTAAAGGCCATTATCTCAAAAGAAAAAAAACCTGTAAACAATTACATCAGATAAATCAGAGTTACTGGTAGGAGCACACCATGATGTGACACTCTAATCGAGAGCGCTGAGATTCATAATGACCCCAGTTCATCAAACAACTCGTAGCTGGAGCTCTAAAAGAATTAATGAGCTTCTTACAGACAAAAAAACATTGGTATTAACGGCATAAAACACACAGCAAAGTTGGCAGCTATTGACAGAGTAGGAACGGAGTCTATATATAGACAGATTATGTGAGTTTAATTACTTTTTGTTTGTGGTTTATTTGCGTTTCAGTGGATAAATGTTAGAAAGTGCCCCTAATGTTGCATATTTGCTCTCTCCAATCATGTGCAGGCGTGATGACCAGACTAACCAATCACAGCAGCACTGCTGGTGTCACAGATTGCGTCAATCAAATACCCGGCCTTTTGATCGGCTCTTGTTTTGACATTACTAACGGAGAGAGCATAATTAACCGTGAGTGAATTTAACATCAATTTTATTTTAACACCTTTGAAAACTGTGAGTTGTATAATCACCTTTTTTTCTTTCACTCTTTCAGTGTTCTCGCTTCCCCAGAGCAAATACCTGGTTTCACTCACTTCTTCAGATCTTCCCAGGATTCTTTGTTTTGCTGCGTGGCTAACAGCAAGTGGGGACCATCGTTGGGTCACAGGGGGTCGTAACCTCATTGTTTGGGAGCAGCTTCCTGGAAGTTTTAAAAAGAGGTGTGTTTTTTTTTTTTCCAGATATAGAGGTCTATTTCATGTATCTCAAATTCACTTTCTCTAAGAGATGTACTTCACAACCCCTTCTGCCCATTACTTATCCCTTCACAACCTACTTTATATAATGTATTACTGTACGGTATATATCAAATTCGTAGACATTCGCTGACACATAGTTACTAATATAAGTCACTCTGCTCAATGTTTCATTTAGTCAGTATATCAATATGTACATCAGTAATGAGATACTGGCTGGAATATAGTATCTTTGGGATGCTTATTGATGAGAAGTCTGCAGGAATGCTCCGGGCACAGTTTAATTGACAATGAGAACCGTAGCTCACATCGAGTGCTGGATGCCGAGCCGATGATCACTTTGTGGAAAAAATATTGATTTCTTTGTAACTACAATTCTGTCTAGAGCTGCAGGTCTCAGCTGGTGGGTTACAGGAAAAACAATGCTGAATGCAAATAATCAAATGCAACTAGCCATATAATTCTGCATATTTAGATTTGTGAAAAAGACTCAGGTTTTTAAAGGGGAGAGAAAACGATTCCCATTTCATTTGTTGTTGATGTCAAAGACACTGCATCCTGTATTTTGGAGCTTAATCTGTCACTTGGAAGCTATCCAAATTAGGCAGACGCCAACATTTCATGGTGATATTAATATCAATGTTTAATTTCAAGGACATTTTTTGCTTACATTGCTGTTGGTTTCTGGTCTTAACTGGTCTCCCAGCCTTGTCAGGCTGGTCTGTTCACTGGTTTTACAGTAGTTTTGGGCACTTTTCAGCTGGGCAGGCTGGAAGACCAGATTAAATCATCTAAGACCATTTTAGACCGGTTTAATTGACAGAGCAATAAACAGTTTTGGTGCTGTGTTGGGCCACCACTCGATGTCCAATGTAAAAAACAAAACCAAAGACTTTGCATTCAATATTCTGACACATGGAACCTATCCAAATTAGGCAGAGGCCAACATTTTATGTCAGTATTAATAATAATGTTTAATTTCAAGGACATTTGTGTTTACATTTGTACACACTACTGGAAAAAATGTCTTAAACCAGCCTAACCTGGTTTGCCAGTCTTAGCTGGTCTCCCAGCCTGGTCAGGCTTGACTGATCAGGCTGGCTTTTGGAGTGGTTTTAAAGACTTTTAAGCTGGTCGCCCAGCAAAACCAGCTAAACACCATCTTGGAGAGATGGGAGATCAGATTTAACCAACTAAAACCAGATTATGCTGCTTTAAGAAGTTTTTTTCAACAGAACAATTAAACAATTTTGGTGCTGTGTTGGATGAGTAACTGCTGAACAACTAAAGGTGCAGTCAGGGCCATCATTAAGTAGCAGACCCTGTGGCGAACGGACCGAGGGGGACCCCCCCCCCCCAAAACACAATCGCGAACGGACCGATGAGGACCCGGAACGTGATTGCGAATGAACCAAGCGGAACCTGGAATGCGAACTGAATTGGACAAACGCGAATGCAAACGAACCGAGTGGGACCTGGAACGCAATCACAAACAAGCCAAGTGGGAAAACGTGATTGCAAACGAACCGAGTTGGACAAACGAAATCGCAAACAAACTGAGTGGGACCTGGAACGTGATCCATACTAACCCAATGGGACAAACATGATTGCAAACGAACCGAGGGGGGACCTGGAACACAATCACGAATTAACTGATTGGGACAAACGTGATCACTAACGAACCGAGGGGTACCTGGAATGGGACAACCGAGTGGGACAAATGCAATCGTGAACAGACTGAGGGGGTAACTTTTAATTTTCTATTTCTCCAAGTGTGCATATTGTACACTTATTTTGGGGGTAAGCTTGGTAACGCGACCTGTGATCATGAATAATGGCTGAGCGTTTCACGGTCGGGTGATGATGTTAGTTCCTGTGCCCCCACTCCCCGACCTGGAACGGGACCGTGAAAGGACTGATGGGGGGCCCCGCTCCCTCTCTTGCACTGGGCCCCGTGTCAGCTTGGGTGCAGTCACACTAGAGCCCTGCACGGGCCTCAAATATAGGCCCAGAAAAATGTTTGGAGCATTTTTTTGTTCGTTAAATGTAAGTTTTCTTTTTTTTTTAAAGTACTAACGACCAAGCGGCCAGCGGCAGACAGTGAGCTGATCATAGCCTATGTTTGATCAATTTAGCCTTCTCAAATCATCACGACTTGCCTAAAATAAAATCTATAGATATAAAACAGTTCAAGCATATCACAATGTTAGTTTAAATGTTTAACCTATATAAATGTGCGCTATTAGACGCATGTCTAGTCGTTTGTGCGGAGAGCTAAAGCACGCTTTACAGGACATGGAGGCACCGGCGTGATCACTTGCATTGGAAACAACTTAAAATATGCCGTAATTATTGCTCATAAAGGTAAGAGTAATACATCACTCGGAACTGTAAAGGGTCTACTTTTATTTGTGTGCACTCACGATATCAACAAAACGTTGTGCTTTTTTAAAATAAAGGATACATAGGCCTACAGGATGTGCTTTCTGCAATTTCGGCCAGGAGCGCTTCACAATGATGAACCGAAACTCAGCGAATACTTGCCTCACAGACTTGCTAAATATATCTATAGAAAGATTTAAATTACTATTTTAAAACAAAATAATTAAAATCAAAAACAAAAACTCTTTTTACGGATTTTATAAAATCCGTAAAGATGCATTTCTCTCTAAAGGCGCGTCCAATGAGGAGAGTCAGGCGAGTCAGGATCGTCGTCTTCATCTTTGCGACACGGACTCAGAAAACACTAATTTATTAATAAATAATTCAAATATCTCATTATTTCCCCCCGACACATTCATGGTAATTGCTTTGCTGGGGCTTTGCGGCACGCTGTAGCCTATTGCGTACGTTTTTTGCTGTCATGTGCAAGGATATGTTTGCAGATTCTGTATTGCACATGACCAATTGACTCACTGTTTGCTGTGGTAATCAAATCAAGACTCTTCCAAAACGCAGCTTTTCCCGAAGCATTGGGAACTTTTAGTAACTCCCCACATTCCAACTTCTCCCTGATGCTCTGCATGGTCAACTGTCACCTGTATGTTAATGCGTGCGTATATGTGTTGCGTATTGCATAGGCGATGTATAATATTTATAATATAATCAATATAACAATATTTCATACAGAAGCCTATGTGTGTTCTGCATATGGCACAATAAAAGGAGAGAGGCTAAATGAGCCCGAGTCCGACCCGAGCCCGATCTGTAAAAGAAACAATTGGCCCGAGCCCGGCCCGAATGGACTCAGCGTGTCGGGCCCCGACGGGCTTGCAGACCTCTAAGTCACACTTAACATTGTTGGGCAAACTTTCATACAATAAATCCAGTCATATATTCATGTTTTGCTACACTATTAAAAATAGATACATTGAAATGCTTCTAATGTGACACCTTAAGCCAGATATGAAGAAGATTTTTAAGTTGATCTGCCTCTGCCTAACTCTTAATGATATACTTGCTACTTTAAAAGCAGTTTGTATAATGAAGTCATTCCAATCCCATTGACAGCGCGCTGTTATCAGCACAGCAGCTTTGCTTTTTGCTTCAGGCCGAGTTAAACATCCTTCTGTCCTTGTAAACAGTGTGACCCAAGTGGCCTGCACTGACGGTCTTCTGTTGTTTTTCCTCTAGAGGCGATGTCACAGTGAGACGAGACAGCCGATTGGAAGATTGTCTTCTGGAATCCGACAGAGACTCAGAAGACGAACAAAGTGAGGGTAAGAGAGAGAGCCAAAGATGGATGTTTTAACCTATGTTGAAAAATTCCAGTCCAAAGAAAATCTACAGTAATTTAATAATAAAAACAACTTTTTACACACTTTATGGACATTATTTTGCAATGTTCTCGAATAAATGAGTTAACAGCATTTAAAAAGGGATGCTATAAAACATTTAATTCACTTTGACAACCTTTACGAAAATATAGTTTTTTTCTCCAGTGGACGATGATGAAGACTCCATACCCCAGGATGCATCAGAAACAGAGGAACCCGCAAGTTTTTCATGGCTGCGTTGTGTTCTTCAGTGAGCGAGAGGAGGGGTAAATGAAAAAAAGAGAGCGAGGGGAAGGAGATTGAAGGAAGGTTAAAAAGAACAAACTGCAAAGGAAGAGAAAGCAAAGGCAAGGTCAAGGGGCGACGATTGAGTGCAAGAAATCACGTGAAGGGACTGAAGTGGAACAGATTGACTGACTGGCAGAAGGGAAAAAACAGGAGGAGGAGAGAAACAACAGACTGTTTTCTATGTAAACGTCGATCCAATAAACCCTACCATGTTATGTCTGTGTACGTGTGAGGGTATTTATCATCGCTGGCACTTCTGTCTATAAATATCTATAGCGTTGTTCATCATGTAGGGCTCCCGTCCAACGCTACATTAATGTATATAGATTTTCCTGCCGCTGCCTCTTTTCATTTGTCCTTTCTGAATACTTTTTATTTACTTCAGCTGGTCTTCGGAATATTAATAAGCCGCTTCTTTTATTCTGTCGGGCTATTTTCGCCTTCAAAATTCATTTATTTTCTTCTCGCTGCCTATTTAATTGAACCAGTTAAGATGCATAATTAGTATTTCAATCTTTCCTCCAATCCTCCTTCCCTCCCTCCTCTGGCTCTCTCTCTCTCTTTCTCTCTCTCTCCCTTCCTCTTCCGCACTCTATTTCTCACTCGCGCAATTTCTACATGTCTCTGTCGCTACGGCAACCAATGCTTTTCCCCACTTCCAGGCGCTCTGTCTCTCTCCCACTCCCTTCTTCAGTGGCATGAGGTAGGCATGTGAGCCGATATCTGTCTTGAGAGTTTGAATCTGCATGTTTCCAAGTGTGTGTAGGTGTATTTGTGAGTGTTGCCTGGAAGTCAGAGTGTGCCGTAAATCTGGATACAGATGTTGAGTTTTGTTTGACGGCTCGGGAAGAGGCTTGACACGGGGAACGCATCCACAGGTGTGTTCGCATGTGTGTTTTTCTGTGGATCTTGTGGTTTGGTTCTTGATGAATGTGATCCGTTTTGATCCGGATGAGTGTGTATGCTTTACAGTATGTGTGTGTTTTTATTTGTGTTGTCTCAGAGCCAGCAGGGTATTTCTCCACTACAGCCATCTGTTTATGGTCTTTTAGTCAGTGTCAAGACTGAACCCTCCCCCTTCCAGCTCTGTTTCTCTTCTCATCCTTCTCTTTATGTCATTCTCATTTAAGACATGATCGGAGCGGTGAGGAGTCAGTGAACAGGCTGAAGCGATGGAGCGATGGTAAGGCAAAG